AAAATGCATGTGGGTAGTCAAATGAAAGGTCTCAATGAGTGTAACATTGGGATGAGCTTATATCTTTAAAAATGTCAATATTTCACAAGATACAAGGTCATTTCTTAATTATGTATGCAATGACACTAAATTTAACTAAAAAAAAAACCAATTTTATCTTTTGATTATCCTGTACACAGCATTTTTCTTATTCTCTTAATAATATAGATAATTAATTTTTTTTTACAAATCAATTACTTAAAAAAAAAAAAAACTAAAAATATTATTTATTTCTTCTTTAAAAAAATTAATATTTATCAAATCTTTCAGATCTCGATAACAATTACAAGGACTATTATGACTTAATAACAAGAGCTGAGGATGATTATAAGGAGTGCGAAGCAAAAAAATGCGGCTGCTTTACTGACGTTATCTCTCAAGATCTTGAGCCATTTAAATCAGATGGTATCAGTAAAAAATTGATTGATTATTCATTATCCAGAGGAAGTATTTATCAAATAATAAATGGAGAATTATTCAGATCTAAAGAATGCATGTTCCCATCAAGATGTGCCGGAATTGAGCACTTTATTAATAAAATCGTCGCTAATGTGACAGACACTGAGTTTTTGATTAACACCCGAGATTATCCTCAATCAAGCAGACACTTTGGGACTGCGCTGCCCATATTTTCTTTCAGTAAAGTAATTTTTTAGTGGTTTTTAAAAACCAGCTTATTCATTCGCTAAAAAATAGTCAATAAGACGTTGAATAATTAATAATAAATAACAATAATTTTTTTTTAGACTCCGGAGTATTATGACATCACTTATCCTGCCTGGTCCTTCTGGGAAGGAGGCCCTGCCATCTCATTGTACCCTCGTGGGCTCGGTAGGTGGGACCAGCACCGCAAATCTTTGGATAAAGCCAGCCAGGAAAATCCTTGGGACGAGAAAAAATCACAGGCATTTTTTCGCGGCTCAAGAACTAGCTTCGAGCGTGATAATTTAATTTTACTGAGTCGGGAACAACCGGAACTTGTTGATGCTCAGTACACAAAAAATCAGGCCTGGAAGTCTGACGAAGTAATGCAAAAAAATAATTTTTTTTAGTAGGGTCAAAATTTTTACTGCAATTTAAAAAAAAAAAAATTGTTCAAATTTTTAGCATTACTGCGAAAATATTGATCCTATAAAAAAATTTATCAGGCAAAAATTCAAAATTTAATTTTATAAAAAAAATTTTTTTATGAAGATTTTTTAAAAAAATTAATATTTTTGCTGTAATTTTAAATTTTAAATTCATAGTGAAATTTAAAAATTTTTTGATAATTAAGAATGTGTTAAAATTATAGCGAAAATATTGGTCCTATAGAAGAAACATAAGAGACATTTTTTTTATAGGAACAATATTTTAATAATAATTTCAAAAATTTGAACCATTTATTATAAATTGTTATTTTGAATTTGACGCAAAAATCTTGGTGCTATTTATTAGTAAAAAATATTTTATTAGTAAATTAAATGCTAAAAAATAAAAAATGTGACATTAATTAATAATAATTAATTGATTTATTTAATTCAGGATACACTTCACAGACCACCAGCTCCAGAAGTTTCATTAGAAAATCATTGCAAGTACAAATATTTATTCAATTATCGCGGAGTAGCAGCTTCATTTAGACACAAACATTTATTTTTGTGTAATTCATTGGTCTTCCATGTCGGTGACGAGTGGACTGAATTTTACTACTCTGCAATGAAGCCTTGGATTCATTATATTCCAGTTTCCAAAGATGCTAGCAAACAAGAACTCGAGTGAGTATTTTAAAAAAATTTTTTTTGTATACTTAAATAATTTACTTTATTAATTACTTAATTTTTATCTCTTATAGACGACTGATTAAATTTGCACGAGACAACGATGAAATATCACGGAAAATAGCTCAACGTGGTCGTGATTTTATCTGGAAAAAATTACGAATGTCGACAATAGATTGCTATTGGAAAAAATTACTCCAAAAATACACAAAACTCCTTACTTATAAGCCAACAAAAAGAGAAAACATGCAACCGATTAATCGAAGATGACAATCACTAAAATAATTATTAATATTAAAATATTAATATTAATATTAAATTATTAATTAAAAATATTAATATTGAAAAAAAAAAAACTTTTTTTAGGGTAAAATAAAAAAGACAATATAAAATTCAAGTAGATTTATTGATATGTAGTTTTAAGTGACTATATGAATTTATATTACAATGCATGTCAGTAAAAATATTTTTATATATAATATACAAGTATATAATTATTATTAATTAATAATAGAAATTATAATTAATAATTATTGTGCCATAGCTCGGCAAGTTTCATTTTATGAATCATTTGTGCCCCGATTGTTCTGTTTATCACTTTATTTATATTTGTCTAAAAAGGCACTTGTTTAAAAATAGAAAAAAAAAAAAATTGTAAATCAATAGAAATACATATTTATCGTCGTACATCGCGTATAAAAAAATCATTCGAATTATTTAATTAAAAAAAATCGGGAGAGTACAGTTATTAAGTACTAAATTTATGATCCATAATTAAAATAATTACTATGAAATAATGAAAAAATAATAATTAAATGGACGTATTAGAGGTAAATTAATACTTGATGATTATCGATGTTCTAATTAGCAAATTGTCTAACTCCATTTTAAAGAATTTTCCATTTACACGAAAAAACAATTAGTTCAAAATTTACTATCAGTTTAAAAAACCATTTAATATCTAATATTGCTAGATTAAAATGTTAAAAAAATAAGAAGTTAGACCAATTGCCAATTAGACCGTCTTTATATATTCTAAAAAATAATATTTTAAAAAATTATAGATGCACGTCGAACACAAAAAAGTATTATTCATTAACCAATTGGATTCTTTTATAAAAATATTTTTTTTTCATAAATATCAATACTATTCATTTAATTAATTAATAAATGATTGATTTCTTGAATTAATTAATTAAAGGAAAAATTATTTGAGACCCGTCAATTGATTACTAAAATAAATTGTTGATTATTCTATTTAATTCGGCGGCAGTGTAACAAGCCTTACTATTTTTTTTTTCAGTTAATTTGTAAAACTTAATTAAACACTATACGTATGTTTATAATTTTTACAATTAAACTTAACAATAATCTGAACATGTCAACAATCATACAATATTAAAGAGTCTTCAATGAGGATATATTACAAAATTTAATAGTTAATTTAGACATAGACGTAAAAAATAAATATCCTACGTAATTATAAAGGTCTTAGTGATAATCAGGGCCGTCGCAGCGATGGCTAGCCTCAGGAATCCCCTCGAGAAGATAGAAACAGCTCCAGAATTAGCAGAGTCTTGATTCGAGGAGGTTACTAGTTCATCAGTACTTCCTGTGATATACGATCAATTTTTTTTATTTAACAAAATTTATTATTTTTAAATAAATAATATCGAATGCAAGCTTTGATATTGATGATGATTGATCGTAAATAATCGCACGAAGAAACTCATTAATTTAAATTTTATTCACACTGCGTTGAATAAAATAATAAATCCTCATTATTATTCAGCAACTTATCAACGCAGAGGGTAATAAAGAAACACTCAACACTCCAACACTCTAAGAAACTTACGAGTCGGTTGTTTTGGAACTTTAATATCTTCTTTTGCTTTCTACGTCCTTTATTTATTTATTTACTTATTATTTATTAATTATGTGGCACGTTTCAGGCCTCAGCCGATTTAATTCCTTTATAAAAAAAATAAAAAGCTTCATTTGTCAAATCCAAATAATCCATACCGCAGGTTGTTTTCTTCTGTAAAGGTTATTATTTATTTATTTATTTATTAACACTTAAATTCTTTTTTCTTAATAATAATAATTAATATTATTAATTGTTATTTTAGGTGACAGGAGACAGAAGTCAGTGAAGAATTTAGCGAGCAAGTCACACTGATAGAAGGACTTATTAAATATTAATAATTCAATTTATTTGAAGATAATTTTTTAATTTTAATAAATATGTATTAACAGTTAATAAATTACTTATTAACTGTTGATAAATATTTATTAAATCCTGTGATGTTAAAAAATCATTTTTTAAAAATTAATAAAACTTATTCAATTTAGAAAAAAATCTTTCTGTCAGTCCAGTGAAGAAACATTAGAATTTTATTGTAAAGAATTTTCTTCTTTAAAAATACTCGAGTTGAATTTAAATTCTTATTTTAACTTTGAGACTATTTAATGTTCGTTTTTAGAGATTGTAATTTTAGCGGTTCAATGACCGGTCAGTTAAATTCCGTGATTTGCAGGCCAATTCACCGATCAATATTCGTAATGTAGGCTCGTTAAATTATTTCTGTACAGCAAGCTAAATGTCTTGTAAGTATTATTATTTTGTCAGTGTAAATTTTAGGGAAGAAATGCGTGAAGATAAATCGAGCATTTTTTTTTTTTTTTTAATTAATAACTTATGATTAAGTGCTTAATAATGTGCTCGTGCAAATAATTAAAATTAAAACTCAAATTAACACGTGCGAAGATATATATAAATTATAATTAAAACGTGCGATAAATAATATATATATATATATATATATATATATATATATATTTATGTGTCCATTCATTGCAAGTGAAAGGAAATATTTAATAAATAAATAAATAAAAGTGTAGGTGTAGAAAATTTAGTTCCAAATCAACGCTACCGGTTTTATAAAATTATACCATGCACCTCACACCAGTGGGTGTTTCTTTATCTTCATTTAATTGTGTGAAATCCGCTTCATTGATAGTAACTTCGTGCGATATTTAATTTTTTTTTTATTTTTTATAAAAAAATAAACCTTTTTTTTTATTAGTTTTTTTTTGGTTAATCTGAAGCTGCTTTTAAAATATAAGTTAGTAATTAGAGTTAGTATATGAAACAAAGAAGAATATTAATGGAAATGAAACAGAGACCTTTAGCACCATTAATGCGTATTAAAAGAAGAATATAATGGTAATCGGAAAAAATAGACCAGGAAAAAATTTTAAAGTTATGAAAAATTTATCTTATTTTATTAAAATTGTTATAAAATAAAAATTATAATAATAATTAGCAACCTTGCAGTCACTATGCGACTATAATAAATAATGACTTTTGTTAAATTGCACTGTAATTTCTTAACTATTGACTTTTTTAAAGATATAAGCTCATTCCGATGTTACAATGTTCAAGAGCTTTCATATCAGTACCCACATGCATTTTTGATATATTTTTCATATATACATATATATAATATATATAAATATATGAAAAATTGATGTGGGTACTCAAATGAAAGGTCTCGATAAGCGTAACATCGGGAAGAGCTTATATCTTTAAAAATGTCAATAGTTCACAAGATATTTGTTAAATTTAACTATACTTTTTTAAATATTGACTTTTTTAAAAATATAAGCTCATCCCGATGTTACACTCATCAAGAGCTTCCATTTGAGTACCCACATGCATTTTTGATATATTTTTCATACATACATATATATGTAATATATAAATATATAAAATATATGAAAAATTGATGTGGGTACTCAAATGAAAGGTCTCGATGAGTGTAACATCAGGATGAGCTTATATCTTTAAAAATGTCAATAGTTCACAAGATACAAGGTCATTTTTTAATTATATCACACCCACATTTTTCCTGAAAAATAAGCACCCCCAGAATGATTTTTGTTACAAAAAAAAATATTTTAATTTTTATTTTAAAATAATTTTAATCAAATAATATGAATTTTTCATAACTTTAAAATTTTTTCCGGGATTCAATATAATAAATATAATCTTATGCTTAAATATAATTTACTGGTAAACTGGACGACGGCATTTCATTGGCGATTTTATAATAAAAAATTTGATTACGTAATTGTTTTTAATAATTAATTATGTAAATATTTAACGCCTGGCTAATGTGGGGGCTCGTTCGTTTGTTAAAAAGCTAAATTGTTGTTTACACTATCTACAATATATAATAAATAATTATTATCTAATAATAATATAACGTATGATTGTTAGTCTATAAAAAAGTATACAATGGTAATTTTAACTGCAATTAAATAAATTAATAGTTAGTACCTCCACCTGTACTGACTTGACACATCATCTCGATCGCTTCGAGTTTATTATTATTTATTCATATTTTTGTCGGCGAATAATAACAGACAGTTATCATTTTTTTGTCGCGACTGTGAATATTTTTTTTAATAATAAAAAAACGCGAGATCAAAGAGTGACATCGGTACAGATACCACCGGAAGTTGTAGAACTGATTGAATTCACAGGATGAGACAGTTATAAACTCAAACTGTATACACGTTTAATATTTCTATTTTTTTTTTTTTTTTTTGTATTTTTAGTTTTATTATAAAAGCATTTGTGTTGCGTCACATCCCGTAATATTAACGGGTACTAATCTGTAGTTATAAAGTACAGTTGTAAACCGTAGGCAGTAAATTGATTGAGTTTATTTTTATATAAATAAACTCGAAGCTCAAGCGTAATTTTTTACATATTAAAAGTTCAATTTTTTTTTTTAATTAAAAAAAAGAATTGAACTTATTTTTTTTTTTTACACATAATTAAAGCTAAATAAGCCTCAAACATTAGCCAGGTTTTTAAAAATATCCAAAGCAGATTTTTGCTTAATAAAATAAAATTAAATTTAAGTGGACTTGATCTCCAATAAACTCAAGTACCTGTATCAAACATGACCTCTCCATCATTTCCTTTATCATAGTCATCGCTAAGGAAATCACCGCCGTTATTTTCCGAGTTTCCATTTTCTGAAGGGTCTACTAAGTAATTATTTTTCCATGCGATATTACCTAGTGTCCCTCGACTCGCTGATTTGCACCCGAACCACCAGAATGCTGTCGCTCGTGGAAACGCTGGATCAGCTACGTCCACCTATAAGTTAATTAATAAAAAAAAAAATAAGATTAAACGAAATTCCTTACACAGATAAAAAATTAATTTTAATAAAATTAGCTGACATTTATAATTTACTTAATTTATTAAATTAGAACAAAAAAATTGCACTCATAGTTTTTTTACAAATGAGAAATTAAAAAAAAATTTTTTTGTAATAATTTTTTTAATAAAAAAAATTTTTAGATGTCGGCTAATTTTATTTTCATAAAAAATTAAGGTAATTATTTACAAGTGGGGTCAATCTTATTGTAAGCCTTAACTAGGTGAAAAATTAAAAAATTTTTTATAATTTTTTTAATTAACATTTATGATAAAAAATGTCGTGAAAAAAAAAAAAATAAATTTTGATAGCTTTTTTGCATTTAAAAGTTGAAAAAAATTTTGGCTTTCGTATTTTTTAATAAAATTTCTATTTTATCTTTTTTTGATATTTTTTTTAAATGCATGAAAAAACAAAAATTAAAAAAAAAATTTTGATAGCTTTTTTGCTTTTAAAAGTTTAAAAAAATATTGGCTTTCATGTTTTTGAATAAAATTTCTATTTTATCTTTTTTGATGAGTTTTTTTTTTTTTTTGAAAAATGCATAAAAAAAACAAACAATTTAAAAAAAAAAATTGATCAATTTGATAAAAAAAAAAATTTCTATAGCTAAAATAGACTTGACCCACTTGTAAAAAATTACTAAAATAAAATTAAAGATCTTACCGAGAATGTTCGGTCGTTAAACCGATAGTACGCATTATCTTTGAAGAAATACGTGTACCCGTGATACGTGAGCGCCGCGTCCATATTATTGGGCACTCCTTCCCAATTAGAAATAAGTTTCGGGTAAGTGCTTTTAACTGGTGGTCGTTGAGCAGGATCGAATCTCCAGAATTTAGTTCCCTTGTAGAAATAAATTTTTCCGTTTCCCGTCCAAACGGTGACGGCGTCAATATTGTCGGGAATTCCAGTGAATCCCTCGCTGATATCCTTCGGATAATCACCGTCGATTCTCTTGCCGACGTACCTCCAGTACTTAGAGCCCTGGACGAATAATAAAAATAAAATTAATAACGTTGATAAATTATTGACTATCTAGGATTATGAAGGAACTTGTAACTATATTTATCAATAATTGAATTGAATAAATGAATAATAAAATAATCGAGCGAGTTACCTTGAAGAAATAAGTTTTCCCATTTTTATACGTGAAGGCAGCATCGATTTTTCCTGGCAATCCCTTCCAGGAACTACTTATCAGTCTAGGATACCCACTGGCTACACCGTCGTCCGTTAACTTCCAGTAGTAATCGCCTGTAAATCATTTCCGGTTACTGTACTATTATTGTTACTATGGCTGGTTGTAAAATACTACTGTGTAATTAGGAATTAGTAATTACAAAGATGAATTTTTTATTTTTATCCTGAGGATTTATGCAGTATTTTTTTTAGCTCTGTAATTAGTTTAAAAGACAATTGATAGTTGAGGAACAAGTCTATTTACCTTTGAATACGTACGTATGACCCTCTGCGGAGTTGAACATTGTGTCTACTTTCGAGTCTGTGCACAACACGGAATCTTCTTCGCCAGTTGGGCTCGAGGTTGTACGCTGGTGGACTTCTGTGCCAGCCACGTCGTTACTTTTAGGACCGTATAATGCCTAAATTTAATAAATATTGTTTATTATTGATTAATTAATTATTTTTGGGGATATCTTCAAGATTAATAAAAATAAATATGTTAAATTTTTACTCAGTTTAAAAATAAAAAAAAAAAAGTGTTATATAGTTTATAATTTTTATTACAAAGGAAATTTGAGATAAAATTCTATTTAAAGAAAGTTAAAAAAATTATTGCGGTTTTATTATTAATTTAATTTATTAGCTAAATAAATGATACTGAAATCAGCAAAAAACAATTTTTTATTTTTTTCATTAAATTACAAGTAGAAAAATAATTTTAAAAAATTACACGGACAATTTTTTAATTTTGACGTGAAATTTTTTATAATAATTTTTTTAATAAAAAAAAAGTATAGAAATTTTGAGATGTCAGCTAATTTAATTTTTATTAAGTTTCAGTGATACTAAAGTTAGCCGACATTTTTAATGTTTTGATTTTTTTTTTAATAATTAAATTAGAACAAAAAAATATTTTTTAAAAATTACACTTACAGTTTTTAAGGTTTTTTACAAATGGATTTTTTTTTGTAGTTATTTTTTCAATAAAAAAATTTTTTAAAATTTTTACTAAATAAAACTAAAAATTTAATGACACTGAAATTATCAAGATACTTGAGAATTTTTTAATTTTCGTTTAAAAATAATAGCTCAAGAAAATTATTTTTACGAAATTGCATTTATAATTTTTTAGAGCTCCTAAAAATGTAATTTTTAAAATAAAATTTTAGTGCTATGATTAATTTGTTAAAAAAATTCTATCAATTTCAGTCATTTGACAATTTTTTAATTTTATTTAACTCATAAATTTATTCTGAAAAATTATTTTTTAAAAAATTGCATTTTTAATTATTTAAAATTTCTACATGTCCATTTTTTTTTGCTATAATTTATTTGTTAAAAAAATTATTTTTAATTATCATATACCTGCTAAATTAATTTTCATTATTCAATAATCTAAAAACTGAAAATAACTTACTTGAATCCCATAAATGTCATCATTATCAAGGAGAAAATTAGGCTCATATCCACGGTAGAAAGGAGCCATCAGCGCAGCTTTGATATCGCTGTGACTAAGACCCAGAGAATGACCAAATTCATGAGCGGCTACTTGGAACAAATTGGTCCCGCGATAACTGTTAATGGACCAATGCTCAGAGTCATCGAAGTGTGCATCGCCGCCGTAAACCGGGAAGTAAGCGTGAGCAAGAGTTCCACCTGGTCCGTCAAATGGATCGCCGTCTCCGTGTTCCCCGCGTTCGAATCTTATGTCAATGTGTACCTGTCCGGACTTTTTCTGCGTGAAAGTCAGGTCCGTGTACTCTGACCAGACCGCAAACGCACGGGCAATATCTTTGTCCACTGATGCTTTATCGAGCGACCTTGGATACTTGCTTATTTTGTACGTGAGCTTTTTCACTCGCCATCTTGATCCTGCCAATGGAAATAAATATTAATCATCACTGCTGTGGTCAGATATAAATATTAAATCTATAGATATATTTTTATGTATATTTCATTTTATGTTTATAAAAAAAATCCTTGACACTTTCCTGAAGATCAATCTTATCGTTTATCAGGAATTATTGCACACGCAAACTACGAGCTACCGGACAAAATTTAATGCTAGGTAAGAATTTTAAGTACCGTATGTACACGTGTTCTTTTGCTTACAATGATTCATTTTTGTTTTAATGTTTTTTTTTTTTTCCCGTAATTTAGAATAAAAAATATTGATGAAAAAATTAGCCGACATTAAAAAATTTTTATGAAATTAAAATTAGCTGACAATGAAAAATTTTTATTTTTTTTTTTTTAAATAATTTTGTCTCCAGGATAGTCAAAAATAAAATCGGTTTTTTTTTTTTTTAGTAAAATTTAGTGTCAATGCATACATAATTAAGAAATTACCTTGTATCTTGTGAACTATTGACATTTTTAAAGATATAAGCTCACCCCGACATTACACTCATCGAGACCTTTCATTTGAGTACCCACATCAATTTTTCATATATTTTATATATTTATATATATATATATATAATATGTATGTATATATGAGAAATATATAAAAAATGCATGTGGGTACTCAAATGAAAGGTCTTGATAAGTGTAACATCGAGATGAGCTTATATCTTTAAATATGTCAATAATTAAAAAATGACCTTGTATCTTGTGAACTATTGACATTTTTAAATATATAAGCTCATCCCGACATTACACTCATCGAGACCTTTCATTTGAGTACCCACATCAATTTTTTCATATATTTATATATATTATATATATATGTATATATGAAAAATATATCAAAAATGCATGTGGGTACTCAAGTGAAAGCTCTTGATGAGTGTAACATCGGGATGAGCTTATATCTTTAAAAACGTCAATATTTAAGAAAATACAGTGCAATTTAACAAAAGTCATTATTTAATAAAGCAAAATTTTATTCATTTATAGTTCACAAGTCATGGCAGTCACGTAGTGACTGCAAGGTTGCTAGTTATAAATACAAAAAATATTTGTTTTTTAATTGTATGGATAGTTTTTTAAAATATTCTACAAGTGGAATTTTTTTGTGATAATTTTTTTAACAAAAAAAATTCTAAAAATTATCAGATGTCTGTTACTTTTATTTTCATAAAAAATATTAGCTTATTAACTGTTGCGTGTTATTGCGGGATGACTACGAGCGATTTGCCCTTATGCAATGACATACAGAGTAACTACTACATATTTAACATCCACTGAGAATTGAGTTGAGTTAAATAGAATTTATATCAACGGTAATTACTGGAGGTGCTTATAAAACGCTTAGTAACATGATCTGTTGCACAATCACACTGCTTATAGGTAATGCGCGTGATAATTAATTGTTTTTTTTAATTTTAATAATTTGTCTTTAATTATTTTGGTAATTTCGACATTTATAATTTATATTAATATTTACTGTTAATTTTTTATATTTAATTTTTAATTTAATAATTTTTTTTTTTAAGTTAAGCTGAAGTCTATTATAAATTAGCGGAGATCTGTTGAGGTGATTGACATTAAGGAAGAAATGGTTATCATTTTTTTTTTCTAGTAAATATTTAAAAATCCAAACAGTGGATCGATGGAAATCGATTTGTCTATCTGTTCATGGTTGAGTGGATTGCTCTGGTTGTGTCATGCACGAGAAACGCAATTGACCAATAAATTATACTAGGGAAATCACGTGGATGACAAAACGTGAGGTCGTCGGAAAAACGGTATATCGAATTGTTTTCGAATCTAATCTAGTCTAATGTAATAATAAGCACAGTAAATAGAGAAATCGATAGTCTTTTTCGTAATATTTTATACTGAACAAACATTTAATTAAAAAAAATAATAATGTTTGTAAAGACTGCCTATCCATTAAAAATATTCCTATATATTCAATTAAATATTTATATAGCTTTTAATTCTAAATTATGATACTAAAATTAGCTGACAATTTTTAATTTTTTTTATTTTTATAACAAATTAATTACAATAAAAAAATACTTCCAAAAATTTTCACTAATTATTTTTTTTTAATTTTTACATTTGGAATTTTTTTGTTAAATTATTTTTTAAATATATTTTATACTAAACAAACATTTGATTAAAAAAAACAATAATCTTTGTAATTCACATTTAGAACTAGCTGATAAAAATATCAAGACGCGTTTATTATTTACAATAGCCACTAAATATTATTTTATAATATCAGTAAATAAATTTTTGACTAATATTTATGTAGCTTTTAATTCTAAATTGTGATACTGAAGCTAGCTGATAATTCTCAATTTTTTTTTTATTTTTATAATAAAAAAATACTTTTAAAATTTTCCACTAATAATTTAAAAAATATTTTTAAATGTGGAATTTTTAAATTAAATTTTTTTGTTATAATTTCATTGATATAAAAATTTCTAAATCATCTTGAAAGAATATTGAAATAGTAAATTGTGTTTCTTCGCAATTGTTTAATTAATTTAAAACTTCATATCAGTAGAAGAATATAAAAAAATTTTTCAGTGACATTATTTATCTAAATTTTCTTAAATAAAAATCATTAAATGATATGTTTAAAAAATAATTTTTCTTACGTTTAAATAATTACAAAAATACAATAATTATACCTTGTAACGCATAACGTCTAGATCTGCCATCAGTGCTAGCTCCGACTTTATCTTTCACTCCACATCTTGGCAAAGACATCATCGAGGCAGTTTCATTGTCCATTGTACCTGAAAAAAAAAAAAAAATCACAAATTAAAGTCTTGAAATTTTCCCTTCATCAAGAGTAAGTAAAATAATCAATAAGTTCTATGATTCATGATGGATATCAATTATTTAATTATTAATATTTTTTTTCAAGGTACTATGTGAATGTGTCAACACGCTCCTGTTATCATTGATCTCTTCATGATTAAGCATAGGAGTTGACATGATAAATTCGCAGTAAAAGTTCCAATGCAGGCTGCAATAATCATAAGCTGATAGAAAAATTATTTACAAGAATTAAGTAATGGTAAAGTTATTTGTTTTGTTGTAAGTATTAACAATAAAAATACAAATAGCTTATCCTGATCGAGTGAAGTCACATAAATTCATTAGAATAAATAATTATTGTTATTCGTCATCACGTAAGTATAATACTTAGTACCTAGCCGATGATGAGGGTGTTAGATTGAATAATTCTCCGTTATCCAATAAGTCTTACTGCAATTACAATCTGAACAATCCTTGTTTGCTTATTTTTTATTTTGTTTTATTGAATAATCCGAAACACGCCTTCCGCATCGATAATCTGTTTATGGCGCCGGTCTTCCTTTTTTTATAGTATCCTCATCCTTATTTTTATTTCCTTGTTGTACTTGTATTACTCAGGGGCGAAGTAATTCCCGTTGAAAAAATAATTAACTATTCGCATCACTTATAAAAACAACAGCATTTTATTGTATTGTATATTGTATATTGTATATTGTATATTGGAGGATTACCTTGGCACAAAAATTTTTCTTACTTTAGAATATGTAAGTTTGTCTAGGCCAACAACTGCATGAGTATTTCAATTTTTTAACGTCAACATTATTTAATAATCAACTGTAATTATTTACAGATTAGTCTTAGGACTTCCGTCCACCGAGTTTAATTAAGTAACTTTCTAATTTTAGCGTTAAAATACTAAAAAAAAAAATTAAAAGTTGATTATGTTTTAGGTTATCACAGTTTTTAACTGGGAAGAATATAAAAAAGGGGATTCCCAGGAATTTTACAAAAATGGGTTTTGTTAACTAGCGCCATATACTTTTAGACCCAATAAATTTTCAAATAAAACTGAATAATTATTCTGAGAATAATTACAAATGAGAAAAAATAAATTTAATGAAATAATTTTCTAATTTCAGCGTTAAAATTCTAAAGAAAAATTAAAGCTTGCTTATATTTTAGGTTATCACAATTTTTAACCGGGAAGAATATAAAAAAAATGAAAAACTGAATAATTATTCTAAAATTACAAATGACTTAAAAAATAAATATAATTAAATAACTTTTTAATTTAAGCGTTAAAATTCTAAAGAAAAATTAAAAGTTAGTTATGTTTTAGGTTATCACAGTTTTTAACTGGGAAGAATATAAAAAAATGGGATTCCCAAGAATTTTACAAAAATTGGTTTTACAACTAGCGCACTCTACTTTTAAATCCAATAAATTTTCAAATAATTATTCTAAAATTACTAATGACTCAAAAAATAAAAATAAATTTAATTAAATAACTTTCTAATTACAGCGTTAAAATTCTAAAAAAAATTAAAGCTTGCTTATATTTTAGGTTATCAGTTTTTAACCGGGAAGAATATAAAAAAAGGGGATTCCCAGGAATTTTACAAAAATGGGTTTTGTCAACTAGCGCCCTCTACTTTAAAACCCAATAAATTTTCAAATAAAACTGAATAATTATTCTAAAATTACAAATGACTTAAAAAATAAAAATAACTTTTTTATTTTAGCGTTAAAATTCTAAAAAAGATTAAAGCTTGATTATGTTTTAGGTTATTACAATTTTTAACTGGGAAGAATATAAAAAAAATGGGATTCCCAGGAATTAAAAAAAAATTGGTTTTGTCAACTAGCGCCCTCTACTTTAAAACCGAATTAATTTTCAAATAAAACTGAATAATTATTTTAAAATTACAAATGAGAAAAAATAGTAATTTTTATTTTTATGCACATTTAATGTTATTTAAAAAATAATAACTAAAATTTTTGGTTGAATGACTAAATAATTAATGAAGAATTAAGATTATCATTTATTATGATTGAGCAAATTAAAGTTGATTCAACTAATCGAAAACCTGAATGGGAATTGAATGAATCAGCCTAGTCGAGACTAGGCCATTAATAATATGAGTCAGCGGAATCCCACTGGGAACTATCACACCTGTTACTGAATTTTATCAATATTAATATCATCATAATCTTCCACTATTTATCTGTCATAAATAAAAAAAGAAAATAGTAGCTGAAAATATTGTCAATGCAGTATAATAAACTGCGGCCTCGTGTATCGTGCAAGACAAGTTTCTCGTTTATTTCTTACGTAGGCTACTGTACGCAACCTTGACAGTGACGTGTAAAACGTAAAATACCAACAGGTTCACTTTATTTATA